TCTTCTCCCTGGCCTCCGGCAACGTCGCCGGGGCCTTTGAGGTCATCACCTCCAACGACTCCGTCGGCGAAGTGTTCGTGGCCAGGCCCCTGGACAGAGAGGAGCTGGACCTCTACATCCTCAAGGTGGGGACTGGCCCGGCCCCAGGACTGGCCACTAATGACCTAGAAGGGAACTCAACCGTCAGCACCCTGTGGCCAGTGTCCCTGCTGTGCCCAGCACCAAGGGGCCAAGAGCGGTGGGCCCCGGGTGGGGAGGACCCCGGGCTCCCAGGCCGAGGAGCTGGGGGCTCCGTCTGCCGTCAGAGCCCCGAGCAAGCTGGTGGGGCCCGGAGAGTCCGACTCCTCCATAGACACAGCGTGGCTCAGGAGAGTCGCTTGCTGTGGCCGGCCTCAGTTGACCCACATGAAATGGGCACAAGAGCCTCCACCTGGCTGCCTCCACCCCAGTGAGAAGCAGAGCAGGTGGGAGGAGCCTGGGCGGCCGGTACGGCTGACCGTGGTGGTCCCCTACCATTGCCACACAGCCACGGGGCAGCACAGAGGCTCCATGGTCAGGACCCCGGTGCTGGCAGAAGGTCGAGCCAGGCTCCACTGTTTGCCAGAGGCAGACTGAGTGCATGGGACAGAGGCCCTGGAGGCCAAAGCAAGGAGCCTGGTGTCAGGTCACAGACCTGGGGTCGTGGTCAGGTGCTGGACCAGTCCAGACCACGGGCAGGGGCAGGAGGAGGGGACGACTGGGGCACCTCAAGTGAGATTCCCCATGAGGTCCCCAAGTCTGGCCAAGGCTGGACCAGGGGCACCTGGGGCAGACGCTGTAGGGAGTGCCCGGGGCTGGCCAGGCCGGCGCGGTCAGGGATGGGTCTGTCCCTGCTCCTTCCCCCAGCGCTTCAGCCCTGACTCCAGCCCTTCTCCCCGCAGGTTATGGCTTCTGACCGTGGCACCCCGCCACGGAGGAAGGACCACATCCTGCAGGTGACCATCTTGGATGTGAATGACAACCCTCCAGTCATCGAAAGCGCCTTTGGATACAATGTCAGTGTCAATGAGGTAAGGGCACCCTGAGCTGGCCTCCAGAGTGGACAGTGGAAAGAGCTGACCACGAAGCCCCTGTTTAATGTCCCCCTGGCCGCCTGCCCCTCACATCTCAGGACTGGAGCTCGGGTTCCCCATAATGACACCCCCAATGTTCAGCCTGGGGACGCGGAGCTCAGTGTCTGTGTGAGTAGGGGAGGAGAGGAGAGGAGGGAAAGAAGTAAGCGTCCTCTCACCCAACAGGAGGCTCAGGCTCACGCTGGACAGCTGTTTCTCAGAATAACGCATTCAGCCAGGCACAGCGGCACATGCCTGTGATCTTAGCAATTTGGGA